CGGCGGGGGGGGAGGGGTAGCGCGTAAAAATAAAACGTCAGTTCGCAAATCTCGCGGACGTGTTCAACCGGAGAGTGAAAACTTTTCGGCGGTGCCGCTACGACGGCGGCGGCGAGACGGGACCGCGCGCGCGTCTCGCGCGACGACGACGTGCGTACATGTAAAGTATACATCGTCGCGGGCGCATATCGGCGGCGACAAACACGGCATTTTAGCGTGTACTAACCGCTCCCCCTGCCGCCACCGTATCCCACGCGGGCATAATGCGTTATCGCGCCGTATATTACGGGCGCACGCAGACGTTTATGGTCGGCCAGACAGTAAACAACCGGCTTTGCTCTGCGATCTCCCGCCGACGTCCGTCCGTCCGTCTTCGACTCCGTTATTTCACTCTTTCCGCGCGCGCTGCCGCCGCCGCCGCTGCCGCGAATGTCTCCGCGGCGCTACTATACGATAATAATATTATACAACACACGTCCTCTATGTGCGCGCGCTCGTTTTTATCCGCCCGCCCCTTCGAAATCGCTCTCATCTCCGTTCTACGCGCGTATGTTTAATATTATTGTTATACTTACGCGTGCATATACGTTATAATAATAAAACATTGTATAATTACAAATGTAAATTCGAGTTTCGGCCATTAAAACATCCGGTCGGTCGCGCACAGTCGCCGAACGCGCGTATTGGTGCAAGGGATTTCGCGGAATATGCGTGTGTGCTGACACGCGGAGTAAAGTAGTCGTGTTGATAAGCGGACGCGCGCGGAGAACGTAATATTATTGTTATATTTCTATGTGGTCGGTGGCGAAAGGAGCGGGGTTTATGACGTTCGGGTCTGTGATCGGTGAGGTGGGGGAGCACTGCAGTAGGGGAAAAGCCGGCGTTTTCATTTCGGACTCTTTTTCTGCTGCCAATGAAAACCGACCGGGTTACTCGTAAATTTGAGATGTCTTCGCCGCCAGATGTGCCGAATTGGTGCGCCGCCGCCGCCGCCGCCGCCGCCGCCGCCCCTGCGAAGTACCTCTCTCCGTCCCTATGCCGTGTGCGAGGATATGTGTGTTTCCGTCGTTGTCGTTGCCACCGCCACCGTCGCCATCCAACGATAACCGAGTTGAATCCAAAAACAAAACGAGAGAGAGAACGAAAGAGAACGAGTGAAAGAGATAAGATAAATATAGGCGGAGGATAGAGAAATATAGCAAATAACGAAAAATTAACTTTTCCATTGCTTTTCCCGCGTGTCGT